AAGGCCTGGGAGGAATCGCAAGGAATGAAGCCACTGCGATCCCCGATGAAAAACAATATCTTATTTAATGTTGATTAATTCTCTTTTATTACAACAGCCGCCAGAATTTTCAGTCATTCTTTGTACTGCGTCCTAAAAAATGGTCTTATCTACTAAAATTTATCATTGTTTAATAGATATATGTGTCTGAAAAAGATACCACCGTGAGTTCTAAACTTTAATATGACAAGGTTTACACTAATAATTTCTCTTTTTACTACTCATTCCGTAAAAAACTCTCCAAGCCATACATAGTTACCTCGCTTTAAACAGTTTCAGCGGTCACGCACTGATGCAGCGTTCCTCATTCCATTTGTAAGAAAATTTAACTTTCTGATAACACAATTTTTCTCTGACAATAATGAATACTACAATATTTATTTTGTAAAAAACAATACCCTGAGGATGACATGGTTATATCGAAAGTACTTGGAAATAAAACAAAAATGTATGAACACTGCGATTTTCTCTCATCCTTCAATAATGACATCAAAAAACTTATCCGCGATTATAAAAGGATCTTATCGAAAATAAGTAGAAAGAACATTTCTAAACTATACAACGAAATATGTCTTTATATATATATATATATATATATATATGTGTGTGTGTGTGTGTGTGTGTGTGTGTGTGTGTGTGTGTGTGTGTGTGTGTGTGTGTGCGTGCGTGCGTTTGTGTATAAAACAAAAATTGTTTATGAACAGAACTCGTTAACTAATAAGGCGAACAGATTTTGTAAATAATACGGTCATTATTGAGAGACAGAGCATTAATAATCTATGAATAAATAAATAAATAATTTCTCTTAATTAGAGTAGTATTTTTAAAATCAAAATTGTGGCCAGACTCATTACAGTGAGCAACTAATGCAGTGAGTGTGTTTTGTAAAAGATCCCTTTTGTGTTCATATAATCTTTTATTTAAATTTCTTGAGGTTTCTCCTATGGATTCCTTGTGTCAATTATTTCGGGTTATAGCATAAATTCATTCTTCAAGTTTTAACTTATCAGTTTGTTTTGTATTAATTAAGTCTTAATTTGTAGTTTTGACTAATGTTATGTTAAGTTTAGATTAATTCTTTTCAATTGTGGTTGTGACAGAGTCGATGGATAGAAAAGTATATTTTGATTCGCTGAATTTGTCAGGAGGGACGGCTTTTTTATTTTGAAATATTTTATGAGACTTTTTGTTTTGCATTGAATATGAAATAGGTTATAGAGTAGTTTGAAAGTATTTTCAATGCATTTCTCCTTTTATGTAAATATTGAGGGCTGCGAATTTTGAGTGCAATTAAATAGAATCCGATGATTATTCTGGAGTTTATTTCGTAGTAGAATATCAATTTATTAGATCATTCTTAGTTGACTAGCTTAAAAGCTGCACTCGGTGTGGGCCTTTACGTTAGCTCATGCGGATGGCTAATTGGGGTTCCGGACCAAAACCCTAATTCCAATCACCCAACGTCGGTTATTAAACATACCCCATCATCCGTAGAGCGCCATATTAATCAACATTCCTCTAGCAAAGAATTATTCGATAAACATAAAATTGTTTACAACAAAACCCTAAGCGACAATGGCTACAGTTATTCCGAAATTAAATACGTGGAAAATTATAGTTATTCAAGAAAGAAGAATAGAGGGAGGAAGATAATTTGGTATACACCACACTTCAATAAACTAGTTCGTACCAAAAGTGGGACACAGGTTTCTAAATTTGATTGATAAGCATTTTCCTAAGAAGAGTAAATCAAGCCAAATTTTTAACCGTAATACCTTCAAAATCAGTTATAGTTGTACAAAAAATTTAAAGAAAATTATTAAATCGCACAACAATAGAATACTAAAACTATATAACAATAATAAATGCAACCCGAACACAAATTCTAGTGCATCCCAGACAACCAAACTATGTAATTGTAGAATTCCAGAACAATGCCCACTATCAAACAAATGCCTAACGAAATCCATTGTACATATGTGCTCCATCTCATCAAATGAAAACCTCAATAATATAAAACTGTATGTTGGGTCCACTAAGAATGATTTTAAAAAAAGATATTATAACCACATATCCTCTTACGAATGCAAGCAAACGCAATATAACTTTGCTTTCTAAATATTTTTGGAAACTGAAGGAAGAAAACAAAATACCTAAGGTTAAGTGGAAAATCCTCGAACAGGACAGAACCTGCAGAACTCTGAAAGAACTTTGTTTCTTATGCCTGCAAGAAAATATGTATTATTAGGCTTTTCAATAATAGTCAATTGTTAAACCAAAAATCCGTGACTACCGTTTTTCGTAGGTTCTAACATTACAATATTGCTAAACCTTCAAAGTTATAACTAACTTCCTTCATATATTTTATATGGTCGTAGCCATCTTTACTGTTCTATCCCAAATTACAAATCTACAATACTATCAATAATATCAGATAATTAGATTTATATCTATACTTATTTTACAAGCTATATGATTTGATAATGGGCTTAATTTTATAGAAAATATATATTAGTAGTCCAGACGTTTTATTCCTTTTTACTTACATCTTAAATTCTGAACAAAAATTTATTGTAGTATTTTTAAAAATAACATATGTATTTTTACATACTTTTATTAATTTACATACTAACTTTATCCGAAAAAAAAGAGGCAATAACTTCAACTTAAACTTGGGGTCACTCAGCCTTGTTTGTGACCTAAAATAGTTGTCCCTTCACCAGTGAAATCTTTTTCGATTACTACTATGACTTTACCCTACAACTATCTTTACATTTCTTCTTCTTCTTCCTCTTTTTCCTATCTTCACTCCCTCCTCACCTCTTACCCTCTCTCTATCTCTCTTTTCTGCTTGAAGTTTTAACGTAGAGGCTTAAATATCTGACCATTGCGTAGTATCAAAAACTTTAGTGGACACTTCCGCTATCAACAACTACTATTCCCTCATTCTGTAACCTCGTCTTCTTTCCAGTCTTCTCTTTCTTTTTTCCGCTCTTTATTTCCTATTAAGGTGTATCTCCCGATAAGTTCTTTTAAGGTAGTGACGTACCATAGGCGGCTTGTATTTCAATAGAATTTTCCATAACCATTTTCTAGTTCACATCAGTCAAGATGCAGATAAAGCATCGAAACAAAAATGCATCTTTGTAGTGAGTAATTGTTTTTGTCCACATGTAAAAAATCTCTAATATATATATATATATATATATATATATATATATATATATATATATATATATATACCCAAGTATAGGATTGGTATAGACGGAATTAAATTCTAATAACCAAACACATTATTCTTAAAAGTGCTCAATACAGAGTCGAGCAAATAGTATTTATTCAAAAATTAAAAGGTAATTTATGAATAAATACTATATATATATATATATATATATATATATATATATATATATATATATAATAAACAATAAAATCAAAATTACTTTATATGGGAATAGCTTATTTCAGCAGACGAAAATATCGTTCGTCTGTCTTATCAACCCCGGTGTGAACTGAGTTCGTGTCTATAGAGTTATACTTCTTACCCCCGCCCCCTAACTGTATAGACACGAATTTGGTCCACACCGACAAACGACCCATATTTTTGTCTGCCGAAATAGGCTATTCCTCATATTAGGTAATTTTGGATTTTATTGTTTATTAATTATATGGCTCTGTATTGATAAATACATTGAGCTTTTTTGTGGATCAGTTTTAATATTTTATATTACACGGATCCACTTGGATTATATACCTACAGATTTTTTACCTTTACTATATATATATATATATAATTTTATTTTTAACCCCACCCCAAGCAACCCTGTAAATAAAGGGACTACATAAATCATTATCTCTACTTTGAGCGCGGTGTTTACGCAATAGAACGTTCGTGTAATATATATTGTCTTCAACATTTTTAGGACACAGTGACATTATATTTGTTTATATCGCTCGTAAAAAATGAAACACCACAGCAAATAATCAAGAAATATAAAACAAAGATTAAAAGCTAATGAGGTTGGAAAAGCTGTCGTAATGAGTTCTGAGAAGACAGAAAATGAAATGAATGCCATCTTATCAAAAATTCTATGAGCTGTGCCTCCCAATCATGATGCCAAATCCAAATTATTGCGTCAGCTTTTCTTCGAAATAAAAACTGCTTCGTACTTACGAATTCACACTTTAATGACCACCATTTTGGGACCGTGTTAAACCCCTGAATTTGCAGAATTCTAAATGCCTGTGCTTTTTTTCCAAGCATGTCAATCATTCACTTTCAATTCTAACTAGGGACCATTCCCTCTAAACCATTAAATACCTTCCTTAGAATTCTAAATTCTAAAAAGTTCAAATGACTTTCCATGTCGAAATGGCCTTAAAGGTGATACTTCTCACTGTCGTCTGCTAGAAAAGAAGAATGGTTGTTCCTCAGTCCAATCACAATTCTTTCTCTATCTCTCTCTCTCTCTCTCTCTCTCTCTCTATATATATATATATATATATATATATATATATATATAGTGAGAGAGAGAGAGAGAGAGAGAACTTTATCTTCACCTTTTGCATGTATTTCCGTTCAGTGAATCAACCAACGAAATTAGCCTCTCCTCTTAATTCAAAAGCAATGTCAACACAAATATTTCCTGCCGTACAAAATCTCCTCAACTGCCATTTCCGCTGGAGAGTAACAGTGAGGAAGCCATTTTGGTTTCTGCCAAAGAGCAAGAGTGAACAGACAACTGTAAATTGCCAAGCCATGTCGAGTGCAAAACGATCAGAGTTCTTCCATTGAAACCAAGATCTCAGGCAAATAAATTCGGGTATTGTCCTCTAAGACTGAGCTTTTAATTGTAATGTAAAGAAATAAAAATTTATCTGCGGTTAACCTTTGACGTTTCACAAACTCATGTATCAGCAAAATAGGCGATCTTGGTTACTATAGGTAAATGTCTTCAAAGTTCACGTAAACGCAAGTACGAAATTGTCTATCGATCTGTTTAACCCCATTATTTATTTATTTATCTATCTATCTATCTATCTATCTATCTATCTGACTGTCTATCTGACTGTCTATCTATCTACAGTGGTATGTTAATAGGTTTTAGGCACTCCCCACACCCTAGAATCTGACCAAATGGCCAAAAATTAGAATGTATTTATTTTTCTTTCTTTCGTGGAAAGGCGAAAAACTTTTCGAATTTTTCTGATAGATACAAAGATAGATTTCTTTTTCTTTTTCTCCTTTATCATACTCCGCCATATTCTACAGCGTCCTCGCCTTTGTCTTTCTGTCTTTTCTTCTCCTCTGTACTCTTTTTCTTTTTTCGTTACCTCTTCATTCTCACTTTCTTCTTCTAATTCCTTTCCCTCTACTTCTACTCTTCCTCCTCCTCCTCTATTTCCCGTGTCTTTTCTTTTTTTTATTCTCACTCCCATTTTTTACTTTTCTTTTTCATTTCAGCTTCATTCTACATTATACTCAACTCTTCCTTTTCTTTTTTCTTTTTTCTTCAGATTCCTTCTGTTTTTCCTTCTTCTTTTTTTCTTTCTCTTCTTTACGTCACCCTTTTATTCTCCTTCACAAATAATCCCTTCAAGACGAGCTACGAGTAGTTTGTCCGTCTTCGATTCCCATACACACGTATTTGATGAAATACAAAGCATGCGACGTCGTTCCAAAACACACTGTCATTCACATTCCGAATGGATTGATGACACACAAATCATTTGTAAGGAAACGACTAGATCTGACCAGGAATGATGTTCTATTTAGCGGAAATGAGTGTTTCTCTCTCGTAATATATATATATATATATATATATATATATATATTATCTATCACCGATAACACGACTCGAAGTTTTATGTACAGCGCAAACTTCAGGTTCTGAATGTAGACAGACCGTTATGTAATTTAAATTATATGGTTATCTCAATGTTGGTGTAGTTATCTATTATTCTGCGATTGCTTTTTTTATTTTAAAAATTATATTTAGCATTTAAAATAAATGAGATTTTTATATATATGTAGTATATGTAATATATTTATAATTCTAATATATTATATAACATATTATATATATTATATATTATATATATATATTATATATATATATATATATATATATATATATATATATATGTATATACATATACACATACACATATATATATATATATATATATATATATATATATATATATATATATATATATATAATTATATCTACATATATATATGTAAAAGAAAAATTATTTAGAGTTTTGAAACTTCATTTTTTTATTTATTTTTTTTGTATTACGCATAAAGGGAGATTACTTGTTACATTAAAAATTAATCTGGATCAACTAATTTAAGCAGATATTTATTGTCATGCATACATATACTATTAATTCATTTCTCTTGTTTAATAAGCTAAGGTTATTTAAGTGTTTTAAGATAACTAAGTTTTCAACAAACATAAATTGCATCTATTTCCTTTTCCCGTTGGTTCTTGCTATATCCCGGGTGATAAAATGTGTCTTACCATCATTCTTTATAATATATTCGAAAGAATGATACGATAAAAAGAACAAATAGGGAACGTTTCCTCTTTTTTTTTCATCCTATCATATATATATATATATATATATATATATATATATATATATATATATATATATATATATATGATAATATAATAAAAAAGCCTCAAACACTAATATTCCATGGTCATAATTTATTACATTGGAAATTTAACAGAGAGAATTATTATTATTTAACTCCTCTCTTTAAAACTTCTCTCTGTTAAATTTTAATCCCCACCTTCACCTTTAGGCCTTTCCTCTTCTTCTTTCTTCTGTTACACCCTCTCTCTAGAGCTTTCAGACATTTCCCTCTCACACTTGTTTCCCACTCCCACACATACACTCTCACTAAAATTTTATTTTTTATACCCAGAGTTATATTTTCTGATTTCTTTTTGTACGTCCGATGAATTAGATCGTGATTACGATTCCAATGTAATAAATTAAAACGATGGAATATTATGTGTTTGAGTGTTTGAGCCTTTTTTATTATATTCTTACTCTGTCCTGGACATTGGGTTCTGCCTGGATTTTATCCTCTTGGAAATTTATTTATACATATATGTATATATATATATATATATATATATATATATATATATATGTGTGTGTGTGTGTGTGTGTGTGTGTGTGTATTGACCACTAATATAATCAATCTCTATATATATATATATATATATATATATATATATATATATATATATAGAGAGAGAGAGAGAGAGAGAGAGAGAGACGGACAGACAGACAGCGATGGGTAAATTATCGTGCATGCGCGTTATTTGTTTTTGATTTGTCGACTGCGCTGTGTAGTAGAAAGCTATGATGCAATACACTCCACCAGAAATTTGGAAACGGTATGCCGCTTGGCATTCACACTGGAAGCTCCAATACGAACATTTCAGAGTGTTTCGGTGTCAATCTGAGGACAGTGCAGTGGATTCGGAGTTGGATGAATCTAATTGTTATTACGATGGTCCGGCAGCTCGAAAAACTAAATCTAATCGTTCTGATAAGAAAAGAACTCCCGAATTTGTTGGTGAGATCCAGACCATAATTGATAACTAACACAGCCAGGGACACAAGAGTGTCTGAGTTTCTCGTTAGGCAGGGAGTGCATGAAGACATTCGGTATTTCTCATACATGACCAGAAAGCGCCATTTTGCATAAAAAAAAAAACATGCAGGATAAGAGTTAAAGGCCGCGCTACGATGCATTTGAACAAACATCTCCCCTAGACGAGAAATGCATCTCCCCTAGACGAGAAAAAATTCTGCCATGATAAGATGGCGAACACACAGAAAAACCGTTGGGTTGTTGTCTCCGCAAAAGATGTACTAAGAGTGATGAAATTTACTCTTTAGCATTTCAAGATATTATAGTATAATTTAAGTAAATACATCTGTTAAAATGAGATGTCAGTATTATTTTCTTATTTATGTACTATGGGGATTAAATAAAATAACTTTGTTTTGCAACCACTTTTTTGGGGGGAGAGATTTTTCATACGTTTCTTTATTTTTTATTAAAGATTTTTTTGTTGGACGATAATTTACTAATTCTGGTACAAACAGTTGTGGGTATTTGTTTCAGGATTATATTGGGGTGGTTAGAACATTAATATAATTGAGTGTTTCATTCTCTTTATGGTAGGGTTTAAATGTTTTATCATTATGGTTGAGGGTGATATCTAGGTAATCCATTATATTAAGGATTTATGATTGAAGTGCTGGTCTGAAATAGACTATACCTGCATGAGGCAATTTTGGATTTTTTGCTGATAAACTGGACATTTATCAACTAAATGTGGCTAAACCCCATGAAATTTATTAATGACATTAAAGGCCTTAATCAAATTAAATGTTAATTTGATTGAGGCCTTAATTCATAGGGCACTTAAGATATGTTCTAATGGCCTTCTCTGCAGTGAAATTGAGTTTGTTAGGATGACACTATCAAAAAAAAAACGGATATATGTTTTAGACTCCGTTATCCAAGAAGTCAATTAGTAAATTTCATAAGGTTAAGCTGCATTTTGTTGATAAATGCCCAGTTTATTTGTATCTTCCCTATATTGGTACAGAGGGTGAGATTTTATCTAGACGAATTTCACGTATGATCAATAGCTGTTATTTTTCGGCGAATGTTAGGGTAATATTTTATACCCGTCCTGTTTTCTCTTCCATTCGTAAGGACGTCCTCCGCCCCCATCATGTTAATTCAGTGATTTATCAATATAAGTGTAGTTGTGGACTCGACTACATAGGGAGGACGTCCTAAACTTTGGATTTGAGAATAAAACAACACTTACCCACCAGGATTTTGAATCTGGATGCCAGGAAAAGCCAACTAACCAATAGTTCTGGCTCTTCTATTGCTGAGCATTTAATAAATAGCAGAAAATGTGTGGTTGATTTTAGTGGCAACCGTTTTTCGATTTTATCTAGATCCCACTCCACATTTCACCTCAAGGTTCTAGAGTCCTTGCATATCAGAAGGAATGCTTCCTGGGTCTGAATGTTATTGGACTCTAGTTTCTTGAAATTCATTTTTTTCCATTCCATTCGTTAATTTAATTTACACGCTTTTATATTTTTTATATCGCAGAACTTGATAATTCCTGGGACAAAACCGGTTGTTTTTTTTAGTTTTTTTAAAAAATGCCATATAAATTTTGCCCTTCCCTAGCTATATATATATATATATATATATATATATATATATATATATATATATATATATATATATATATATATATATATATTATAATTATTTTTTAAAGATAGAATTCCATCGCGACACAGAAATTACTGTTTTGAAACTTGACTCAAACCCTAAAGTTTAATTTTAATTTTAAACTTAAAAATTAGAGTACAGTTTCATTCATAAGCGATGTTTAGAATAACTCACTGAAGAAATGGTTTACTCATTTATAGGTTGGAAATGGAAGTGTAATCTGGTGTTTTTTTTCTTTCGTTATCAAGGGAGTACTACGTATGAATATTTATTATAGGGCAAATTTTTGGAGTCGTGTAAGGTTTGGTTGGGAGATTTTTGTCTGGCTACAATGGCCTTTTTCCCAGGCTCTGTTGTTTTTCCTGCTAGTTGTTAAAACTTATTGACTGATGTTTTAGTTTCAGTCTTTTTGGTGTTAATTTATTCGTTTTTTCCCATAGCCACTACTTTTTAGGCTTGGTTGTAAAAATTACTATGTTTATAGAACATTTCTTCATTTGCAAAATTTCTACTAATTTTTTTCTTAATTGAGGAAAATGTGCTTAATTATAGAGGATGATTTGACCGGGGTCTACATATAAACGATTAGTATTAGGTTTTCTGTAAGGGTTATTAATTAACTGAATTCTCTATGTATTATTTTTCTAATTTTATCTATTTAAAGTTAGTACATATCCTGACTACCATAAGGCCATCATCTCTGCATAGCCCGATGTCTTTAATATCTCTTTCACTGTGCGCAGTTTGGTTATATAATATAAATAGACCGACAAGTTCAGAAGACACTGCTGAGCCTAATGATCCCATTGTGATGTCAAAATGGTCTTTCGCAGTTTTTAATCCATTGGTCACCATTATGAATGAGGACATATATATATATATATATATATATATATATATATATATATATATATATATATATATATAGTCTTAAGCTGTGCTATATTTATGGGATAAAGTGCTCAATATCAGAGATAGAGCGTGTGTAAATATAAAAGTGAACATAGCAGTCAGCACATAGAGGCGACAGTCTGTTTCATGCTAGATGCAATCGTCAGGCCACGAGTCCTCTTATTTTTCTCGGCTATTTATATATATACGGGTCAGTGGTGCATTATTGGGTAGTCTATTTAGGCGGTTATTTTACCGGAAGTCGTTTATTTGTCTTTTATTTATTTAGGTTAAATTATTTTGCTTGTTTTTATTTATTTTATTTATTTATTTTTTTTTTTTATCTATATATATATATATATATATATATATATATATATATATATATATATATATATATAGTAATCGGTGTTATTATTAACGTAGTAAAAATTTGTTTATATCGCTTATTTAATAGTTTTGGTTTGGTTTGGTTTGGGAAGATAAAGCTATTTATTCAATTTTGGGGTTGATTGTTGTAGTTTATTCTAACTATTATTTTGGCGGGAACAGTTTTTAATTTGTTTATT